AACATCCACAAGACAAGTCCACACTCACCTCTGCAACTAAGGAATTGTGCTGCAACTTCTTCCTTGCTTTCATTATCCGGACCAATGCTGCCTCGATCGTGGGACCAGTCAAGGGAACAACAAGGTCTTATAATATAACATCCATTTAACAATAATAATAATAATAATAATATATAACATTTATAGAGCGCATTTCCAAAAAAGTAGCTCAATGCGCTTTACATTGGAATACCCATTTTTCAAAAACCTTTCTTACTACTTCCTTTCTTCTCAAGCAATATACATTACTGCACACACACACACACACACACACACAGAGACTATTTTCATCCAGACATAGGAACAGAACAAATATAATGAAAGATAACGTTAAAAGCTTATGAAGGATAGGCCTGTAGGAACAGAAAATGTTTAAGATGTCTTTTGAAGCTATCAAGTGTTCTTATTTGTCTTATTTAGTTTAGTTTTAGTTGAGGTTTTACGACACTCGCAACTGCAGAAAAGGTCATATGAGTGCCAGAAGATTAGAGGAGTTACAAGAGAGTAACAAACATAAAAAAGAAGAAAGGGAGATAAGGACAATAGATGTTTGATAGGAAAGAAGAAGCAAACCACACCAGAGCACCCGCCACCCACCCACATCCATTTATCCACTATAAACATCATTTCCTGACTCAGCACTGCTCCCACCAAAAACGAACCTCATATTTTGTGCCTTTAATCAAATTTTCTCAGTAAAATCCACATGGAAATACATTTTTGTATAGACATGAAAGGGGTGGAGCCAAAAAATCAAAAATTCGATTAAAATTGCGTAACTGGCGGAAAAATACCTGTTTCTCTGATTTTGTAATTTTGACGAGCGCCTGATTTCCTAACGATGCCTCACATATTGTTTGCACAAAAAGTGCCTTTTGTCAGAAAGCTTCTAAGCCCTAACTGTCTACCCCCAAGCCAAAAAGAGCCATTTTCAAACTAGCAGCATCAGTACTGAATTACTATCATAACTAAGGCAATTCATTCAAGTGTTTCAGTACAGTTGAGTAGAGAAAAGCACATCCACACAATGATGTTCATTAAGTGCATGGAACAAGTTAGACTGACAGGGAGAGAAAAGAAATAGGACCTACCACCGGCAACCTCCAACCATTTGTTCATAAAGATGTACTTTTGACTCTTGGCAAACCATGATTATCATAAAACATTCCCTCAATCTCCTGTCCACACACACACACACACACACACACACACACACACACACACACACACACACACAACAAAAAAGGATATTCATGCTTCCTGTCTTCATCGACTTTAATCCTGGTGGCTCGACTCTCGGGTTCTGCTTCCCCTTTGTTGGATGCCACTGTGAACAAGGAAGGAAAATGATCAGTTCTGAATTAACGAAATATTGACAGGAAATAAAAGGAACAAACCACATCTGCAGTGTTCACAACCACCCTTTAAAGCAAGAATTTACTGTCCACAAAAAAACAAAAAAACATACTAAACCTAACATACTAAACCTAACAAAGTCCATTTATATTCCAATACTATCACAAACCCTTTTAGTTTTTAGTTTTAGTAGAGGTTTTACGGCGCTCGCAACTGCATACGGTCATATGAGCGCCAGAAGATTACGGATGTTACAAGAGAGTAACAAAGATTTAAAAAAAGGTGGGGAGATAAGGTCGATAGGTGTTTGATAGGAAAGAAGAAGCAAACCACACCAGAGCACCCGCCAACCAACCACACAAACCCTTTCTCACATACAGTAACTGCTACAGTTTGAGTCAGTATCACTTTTGGAAAACGTACCCAAGTAATGAATGATCATCAAAATGAACAGTGAAAAAAAAACCCCAAAAAGTGATTGCCAGAAGTCGATGACCGACTAAATTTTTACTGGCCGAGTAAATGGACATCTTCGATTTCATGCCAGAGCACGATAGCTCAGAAAATATGCTGGACTATAGTGCAGATGACTGTGGTTCAAATCTTCCTTACGGATTCTTGAACGGGTTGTAGTGAGAGTAATCAAGGCTCCACAATTACGTGGCCCAGTCCTGTTGGAAACAGACGTAAAAACCTTACGCTATTCAAGGGAGTAGGTAACTCATACAATATATAACACATCCCAAGAGAAGGAGACAGGTCAAACAATCAGCAATCTGAGAAGACGTATGTCCATTTTTGAAATACTCACCCATTTGAATTTTGACTCGCACCAACTTTGATGAAAATTGGTCGTTGACAGAGAAGATATGGGAAGCCTCTGAAAAATAGAAGAAAAAAACCCCAGTCATAACAACTGTGAAAGCACCTCGTGTTATTTGGTTTTTTTTTTTATTCTTGTTCTTTAATGCTGTATGCCTGCACAGATGATGTAAGCCCCCCCCCCCCCCCCCCCCCAAGATGAAGCATATTGTTAAACTATTTACATGCAGACCATTTTTTTTTTTAGTAGAGGGTTTTACGGCGCTCACAACTGCATAAGGTAATATGAGCGCCAAGGGGTGGGTGTCAACAGAGAAGTCCTTACAAGGAATCAGACTTACTCAGCTCACCTCTCTAGCTCCAACAGCACAAAGTCTGCTTCAACTATCAAGGCACCCCAAAATAGCAGGTCACAAGAGAGTGACAAACATACAAAAGAAGTAGAGGAAAATGACAATAGTAATGATCAGGAATGAAAAAGCAGATCAGGCACAGTTATGAGCGTGACATTGATGAATCAGCCCATTTACAATTCTACTGTGTTTGAACGAGAAATGTCCCCCCTTTGGGAATGGCCTAAAGACACTTCAGTCAGTTGCACTGCCCCGGGGGGGTGCAGACCATATTCCACTCACAGACAAAAGTGGTGACAGAGGAAAACCTGCAACAATCTCAGCCCCAAACCTTGACAGGGGAGAAGGACTTCATTGATGCAAGAGCCCACATCAGCTCATTCTCTTTGCTTCTTTTAGTAAGTTTTATGTCAAATGCAACATTATTATAAGTGACGAAGATTAGAGGCGTTTACAGCCAGTCAGTTGAATGTTATTACGGTCACATTTTCCCTAAGAAGACATGAGGAAGTTTAGTATAGTTTAGTTTTAGTAGAGGTTTTACGGCGCTCGCAACTGCATAAGGTCATATGAGCGCCAAAAGATTAGAGGTGTTACAAGAGAGTAACAAACACAAAAAAGAAGAAGGGGAGATGAGGACGAAAGATGTTCGATAGGAAAGAAGAAACAAACCACACCAGTGCACCCGCCAACCACCCACTTAGTAAGTTTTATGGCACTTGCAACATTATTATAAGTGACAAAGATCAGAGGCGTTTACAGCCAGTCAGTTGAGTGTTATGATGGTCACATTTTCCCTGAGAAGACATGAGGAAAACAGTCCTATTGGACAGAAGATGAAACAGACCACACCAGAAAGCTCACCAGCCCCCCAGTAACAATGATAAAGAGGAGGCCACATCAGAACACCCACCATCTACCCCTTTGTCAAGCAGAACAAACTACAAATCGCTGTGCTAACTTTATTTACAAACGATATTAAAACAACATCAGTTTTAGTAAGTGTTTTACGGCACTTGCAACACAACAAGGTCATATAAGTGCCAAAGATTAGAGGTGTTACAAGAGAGTAACAAACATAAAAAAGGAGGGGAGACAGAGATGACAGATGTTTGATAGGAAAGAAAGAGCAAACCACACCAGAGCACCCGCCAACCAACCACAAAACAACATCAACAAGAGCAAGAAGAGAAAAAAAACAAAGCATAAGGGGAAAAAAGTAATTTAAAATAATAAAAAGATTTACTTTACTTTTTTCTTCCGCTTGTACCCTGGGGTGTCGCGGGGAGACACGTGTCTGTCTGCAGCAAGTCGTGTGGCCTGTAGGAGGCCATACGACTTGTGTCAGACAGACACCTGTGTCTCCCCGCGACACCCCAGGGTACAAGCGGAAGAAAAAAGTAAAGTAAAGTAAATCATTAATATTGCTCAAGAAAACATAAGGAGAAAACATAAAATGAAATACTTCACCTATATCCTTTGTTTTCGGCTCTTTTTGCAGAATTCTTTGCCCTATCTTCCCCACGGCTAGAGATTGCAACGCCCTTGTGAGTTCCCTTTCAGGCATATCTGTTTCATTTTTTATTTCCTGAAAGGAAAAGAAAAGTACATGAGCCAAAGATACCACAGGAGAACAGAAGCCGGGCTCTTCTACACTGCTGTGTTTTTTAGTGTTAGTAGAGGTTTTACGGCGCTCGCAACTGCATAAGGTCATATGAGCGCCAGAAGATTAGAGGTGTTACAAGAGAGTAACAAACATAAAAAAGAAGGAAAGGGGGAGATAAGTGGACGATAGATGTTTGATAGGAAAGAGGAAGCAAACCACACCAGAGCACCCGCCAACCACCCACAAATAATAACTTTCCACCCAGAAGGCCAAACAGTATGTCAATCACAGCCGCACACTCACCTCGAACGTCCACTTGTCCCTGATATTGAAGAGTACGAGCACACACATCTGATAGGTGGACACCTGCAGTATATGCTTGCGGATGCCCTTGGCCGAGCTGGCTGGCCCGCTGTCCGCGTCCTCGCGTTTGGCACCTGAGAAGCTTGCATGGAGATCGGCCGAGCCCAGATGAGGCTGCAGGGTGAGCTGCCGGCCACTGTGTTTGCTCAGGTAAAATCTGGATAGAAGAAAGAGGGGTTGTTTTTTTTAGGTGAGAAAGCAGAAACCACTTACCACGACGGGGATAGCGAGTCCACTAAAATAAGACTTGTTTCCATAACAGAGAAGCAAGTTAACACATTATGTTGGTTTTAGTAGAGGTGTTGCGGTGCTCGCAACTGAATAAGGTCATATGAGCGCCAGAAGATTAGAGGTGTTACAAGAGAGTAACAAACATAAAATAGAAGGAGGGGAGATAACGACGATAGACGTTTGATAGGAAAGAAGAAGCAAACCACACCAGAGCACCCGCCAACCACCCACGTTAACACATCAAAAATGTAACATATTAAAAAATGTCTCTTTCTGTCACATAGATTTAACACAACACAGACTTTTGTTTATATGCCGGAGATGTTAGTATGCTTACATGGCAGAGTGAAGACTGGTTGGAGTTAAAATGTTTTGAAATAAACCAGATTTTGCAGAAACATCCTCAATTCTATATAACTTTATCTTATATTCTCACTTTTTTCTTTTTTAATTTTATCAGCAAGAAAGAAACAGGTACTGTAGAAATCTGTCTTCCTCAATAATTATCTTACCACTCAGTACAAATGACCTCCCCCTTAAAAAAAAACCCTCACACAAACACACAAAAAAACAACAAAGAAAGTAGTTTTAGTACAGGTTTTACGGCGCTCGCAACTGCATAAGTTCATATGAGCGCCAGAAGAATTGAGGTGTTACAAGAGAGTAACAAACATAAAAAAGAAGAAGGGGAGATAAGGACGACAGACGTTTGATAGGAAAGAAGGAGCAAACCACAGCAGAGCACCCGCCAACCACCCACAAAGAAATAAAAAAAGTATCCCTCCCTCAAGGAGTGAAGAACCCCACAGAACAACATTCCAGCTTACACTCTGAAGCCCTCAAAGGCGGCCCGGGGCTCTGCAGGGATGTTGATGGGCGTGGCCGTCTGCGTGGGCCAGTAGCCCGTGGTCAGCACCCGCACCGTCAGGTCCACGCCAAACAGCACCACCTTCTTCTCGGCGCAGTAGTGCTTGAACTCCTCCTGGATGCTGCTGGACAGCGCCATGTCCTTGAACATGCCCTCCAGCTTGGAGGTGAACTGGCAGCCGCACTCCGTCTGCGGGAGTCGAATACACACGTTTTTGTTTGAGTCAACAGAGGCACAGGGACACAACAATACAATGGTCACCGAGTGCTGGGAAAATGCAAGACAGACAGACAGACAGACAGAGAGACAGAGAGACAGACAGACAGACAGACAGACAGACAGAGGACAGAGAAAGTGAAGAAGTACACCTTTAATACACGGTCGTTTGAGTGAACAGAAGCACGTGGACACAACAATACAATGGTCACCAAGTGCTGGGAAAATGCAAGACAGACAGACAGACAGACAGACAGACAGACAGACAGACAGACAGACAGACAGACAGACAGACAGACAGACAGACAGACAGAGGACAGAGAAAGTGAAGAAGTAGACCTTTAATACACGTTTGTTTGATTCAACAGAAGCGCGTGGACACAACAATGGTCACTGAGTTTAGTTTTAGTAGAGGTTTTACAGCGCTCACAACTACATAAGGTCATAGGAGCACAAGAAGATTAGAGGCGTTACAAGACAGTAACAAACACAAAAAAGGAGAGATAGAGAAGATAGATTTTTTACAGGAAAGAAGGAGCAAACCACACCAGAGCACCCGCCAACCACCCATCTTTTGCATTCTATTCTTAAAAGTAAGGGGGAAACACACCCAAAAAACAAAAAAAAAAAGCCACCTTGAGTTTTGGGATCATACTCTTTTCGGAGTCGCCGGAGCTGCTCTGGTTGAGGAGTAACCTATCTCTGACTCTTTTGCCTTTTATTCTCATAAGTAAGGGGAAACACACAAAAGTCATTCTCGTTTTTTACTGTTCCCCATCTGTTAAAACTTCTTTCTGCGAGTCATTCTAGACCTATCTCTGCCTCTTTTGCCTTGTATTCTCAAAAGTAAGGGGAAACACACCAACGACAAAAAAAGTCATCTTGAGTTTTGAGATTAAAAGTAATACGGGGTGCCCACTGCGGCTGGATCGGGCCGATCGCCCGACTCGATCGCCTGCAACTGAAAACAAATACGTTTGTTTTTGAGGCGATCAAGTCGGGCGATCAGGCCGATCCCATCCGTAGTGGGCACCCCGTATAAGGGGAAACACACAACGACAAAAAATCACCTTGAGTTTTGAGATCATGTTCTTTTCGGAGTCGTCAGAGCCGCTCTTGTTGAGGAGTAGCCTGCGGGCCAAGTGCTGCTTGTAGTAGCGCTCAAACACGTCCTTCTCCTGGAGGTAGCGGAACAGAACCATGCTCTTGTCCAGCACGTTCTCGATCTCTTGCTCTGTCATCTGAAACACAAGCACGGGGACAAGTGACGTCAGGCCACATTTCTCACAGATAACTTGTCTTCGCCCCTGCCCCCCCCCCCAACCACTCAGACACACACACACACACTAAAGGATCTAGTACAGCAAAAAATACTGATACATTCTTCACCATAAAAGCTTCAGAACTACTAATCTGTGGTGTCAAAGAATTTTTTTTTTTCACTCATAGTCAGAAAAATCAATTCCATTTACAACCTTTATCTTATAAGCCATTCACATTTTTTTTCCTTTTGCTTATCAAGTATTGTTTCACAGAAATGTACAAAAAAAAAAAAAGAAAAGAAAACACCCTGGTTTTTTTCTTGAGAACAAAACTAAAAAAACATTACCGATTCTGTTTTCTTTCCACAAAGGCATGAATTCAGCATAGCTCTTCAACGAAAACTTGCAACATTAATTAACCCTATTCGTACGTCATGTTTTACTATCGTATCCATACAACGTGGGGAACTCTGTGCCACCACTTTCCAAAGAGTAAATTTACTCGTTTTCCAATCCGTACACTTTGCATAGCAGTCTGTCGAAATAATTTTTTGAAAATTACTGAAAGTTTCAAAGAGATCTTCGTTCTAGAAGTATTCTAAAATGTGAAAAATACAACCCCGGGGGTACAAAATGACCCCAGGGCGTACGGATAGTGTTAAGAGGGTAGGTGAGCACAGAGAGAGAGAGAGAGAAAAGCACTCACTCCTTTGACACCCTTTTTGAGTTTGTCGTCCACAAAGAGGGAGAGATACTCGGGAGACTTGGGATTCAGGTTGATGAAGTACTCAAAGTCGCTCGAGATCATTTGCTTGAAAATCTTGTCGTCGCTGAAGGATTCGTGCAGGAAGTGGCCGAAGCGGTCCTTGAGGTCGAGCAGATTCTGGACACGCCGAGAGAAGAAATGTACCATGAGAACATTGAAGCAGTGGCGGAGGAGCACATTTCTGACAATCCCCAACGCAACATTTTTAAAAGAATGCTACTTTAAGGAAGGACTCACATAATGCCACCATCCCCAATCCTTTTAAAAAGCAAAAGCTGGGCAGTCAAATTTCCTAAGCCTACTTTTAACTACATTGTGAAAAGTTATTTCAGCTATTCATCTAGACATATCTTTCAGTTCAAACTGTCACAAACATCCACACAAGAGTTATCACTGACAATTGCTGTTACATCAAAAAAAGAATGCCAAATCCACATCATCAAAATTTGGGTAAAAAAACACAAAGCATATTACTCTAACAACTTTTCTTTCAAAATAACTCAAATGTACAACCCACTTTAACATACATTTCCCATTCCCTGAAATGTATATATATATTCACTGCTTTGTGTACGACTCCCTCATACCATTTTGAAAAGAAATGCATGACGGGAGCCTTACACTGACCAGTCGCTATGTACTCATTCAACTTCAGCGACTCGCTTACCTGAACGTATGTGATTGCATTCTTGCTTTCCTCCCCCTCCTCACTGACAAGTGCTCTGCCCTGCTCCCTCAAGTACTTGCTGATGCAGTCGGACATGGTCTTCAGCCCGTCACCGACTCGGATAAACAACTTGTACATGCAGGCCAGATCTGGAGGAGGAGGACAAGGAAATCGTGAGGCGATGGGAAGTTGCCACTGGTCGCAGGCAGTATTGCATACAGACGTAAGTCATTTTTGGCGGCCTTTGAGATACGCCTGTATACAATACTGCGCGCATGGTAGGTCCTGCTTCTTTACTATCCTTCTGCTGTTTCCGTCCATTGTTTATATTTCACACAAAAAAATAGTAAGTATATTCAGAGTTAACGCCACTGGCCCACATCACATCGTATAGAACACTCATTTGTATCACCAAAAAACTAGCAATCTATCAAGGGTTGATTATTGAAAAAACTAAATCTACAAAAAACAGCACAGCGTCAAGGTAAATCGGCTACACTAACTACTCCAGATAATTCTCCTAAGACTAGCCCTCTGGAGTCTGCAAGAACAGATTCCACACCACCACATCGACTGCTGAGAAATTATTCAATCATGGACTTACCGTCTGTTTTGTTGTTCTCCAGCATGTGGACTACTCCTGAGTTTTCCATCTGTCAAAAACAAAAAGTCAAAAATAAAAAGGTGAAAAACATAGCGCCAAGAGTTAACTTTTCCCTTTAGTTTTACGGCACTTGCAACACAATAAGGTCATATAAGAGCCGAAGATTAGAGGTGTTACAAGAGAGTAACAAACACAAAAAAGAAGGGAGGGGAGATAAGGACGATAGATGTCTGATAGGAAAGAAGAAGCAAACCACACCAGAGCACCCGCCAACCACACACAACTTTTCCATTGCACAAATCCACCAACCCTTAGGAGACACAAAAAAAAAAAAGCAAATCCCTTAGAATGAAAACCAAATGTGGTAACTATTTTCATACTTGTTTAAGAGTTACAGGATTTGATTCAACAGACTACTAACGCAAGTAATCATACATTAACTTGGCATAAAAATCTGTAGATAACTCCATTTTGATTTGACAGATTCATGCCAGTAATCACATTCTCACATTATGGAAAAACTGACGCTATACAGTTGACAATTTCTAAATTTTCCTCATCTTCTCAGTATGCAAAATGACTAGTAACTCATTGAGGACACACTGTTTTGGGGTACTTAAAAAGTTGGTGCTTTACTTCCGTTATTCATCACAATTTTTTCAATTCTGTTTTCATTATCTGTTGTTGTTGTTGTTTTCGATCCAGCAACATCATTTTTTTTCATTATCTAAAACATAGAAAGGCTGGCAACAAAATGTATACAACAAAATATGTTAATTTATGTTGGTTATTTGTATATGAAGGTTCAAAATATGCTGTAACATTGCCTTTAGTTTAGTGTGCTGCTGGTCGGACATATGTGCCCGTTACGTCTTTAAAGAGTTAAGCTTATCTCAGCCTATCACGTGGCCATTTGTGTCCTGAACACCCAAGCATCTCAAGCTATTGACGCTCATAGATTGACAAATCTAGGAAGTAGAGATTAAACAGTAAGGTCCTGGGGAAGAAAAAAACCATCCAAACACATGTGAAAAGCAAGATGACTCCATAGACACAGACCCACACACACACACTTACCTCCACAATAGTCTTCATGTGTTTACTGATCAGCTCTTCCTCTAACACCTGAAATGGTACACAAGGAAACAGGATTAGAATCAAAATTAGTTTAGTTTTAGTAGAGGTTTTACAGAGCTCGCAGCTGCATAAGTTCATATGAGCGCCAGAAGATTAGAGGTGTTACAAGAGAGCAACAAACATAAAAAGAAGACGGCGAGATAAGGACGATAGATGTTTCATAGGAAAGAAGAAGCAAACCACACGAGAGCACCCGCCAACCACCGACTTAGAATCAGAATGGGGAACACGTCACATCACTCATTAGAACAGTCAGTGATGATGAACAAAACAATATTACAGTTGCAAAAATGTTACAACAAAACATAAACCAACCAAAAAATGTGAAAAAGGTCGACTAACATTTAACTACTTACTAAACCGAGTAGGTTCAATAAAAAAAAATATATAGACATAACAGAGAGAGACGGAGAGAGGGGGGGAGGGAGGAGAGAGAGAGAGAGAGAGAGAGAGAGAGAGAGAGAGAGAGAAAGAGAGAGAGGGTGGGGGGAGAAGGAGAGAGAGAGAGGGTGGGGGGAGAAGGAGAGAGAGAGAGAGAGAGAGAGAGAGAGAGAGAGAGAGAGAGAGAGAGAGAGAGAGAGAGAGAGGGGAGAGAGAGAGAGAGGGGAGAGAGAGAGAGAGGGGAGAGAGAGAGAGAGAGAGAGAGACAGGGAGAGAGAGAGAGACAGAGAGACAGACAGAGACAGAGAGAGAGAGAGAGAGAGAGAGAGACAGAGACAACACACACACACGACTGACCTTGACCACCGGCTCCTCTGTGGACTTGTCCAGGTAATGTGTGGCCCTCTCGGCTTCCTCGTTGATCCTGGCCTCCACCTTCTTTATGTACACAGAGGCCGAGTTCTCCGCCAAGAATTTCTGGCTTTCCAGCTGATGGTGGGGAAAAATATCAAAGTATAAGCAATTGAAAGTGAGACCAGAAGTACTAGTCCACTGGCAGTTCACAGCTTTTAGTTTTAGTAGAGGTTTTACGGTGCTCGCAACTACATAAGGTCATATGAGCGCCAGAAGATTAGAGGTGTTACAAGAGAGTAACAAACATAAAAAAGAAGAAGGGGGAGATAAGGACGATAGATGTATGATAGGAAAGAAGGAGCAAACCACACCAGAGCACCCGCCAACCACCCACGTAGTTCACAGCTTGTCAACACAACAAGAGCAACAATTCAACAACTGACTATGAAAACAAAATCACAAAAAAAGAGAAAGTTCAAGAGTAGGCAAGTGCTTACTCAGATTTTAGTCAAAAAGAACTGTTGCGACAGGAAATACCCACCAGCACAGGCGGGGCAGGAAAGAAAGTTTTGCAACTACTTTCCCAAATTTAAAAACAATTGCAACTAAGGCAGACTATTTTCAAAATTATTGTTTGCATGAGATATTCTTTTTTCACAATGTTTACACTTTTTGGTTTAAAAAAAAACCCAGACTGATAAAGCTGTTAAAATACAGTATTGTTGCTAGTAAGTATGACTGCAGTAATATTTCCCTAGAAACTGGTTAGGACATTAGCTGCAAAAGAAAAAAGTTTAAAACAATAAAGAGTCCACCCCCATCTTTCATCCACTGATCTGAATTACAACCTCCATCTACGACGCATAACTTCAAAGTATAATAAAGCAACACACACCGACGACTCAAAACTTCAAAAACAAAAGCAACATTTCCACATTCCACAGCGCCTCTCTCACCCTGTAAAACTCTGCCGACTGATCCAGGAACGGTCGCTCAAAGTCCTCCTCGTACACTACCCTCGAATCAATGCCAAGAATCATCAGCATCTGACAAGCGTTTTTCACTGCTCCCCTGAAATCAACAAAAAGCTTTGGTCTTGGTACGAGTTTTACGGCATTTGCAAAACAAAATTTAAAAAGTCATAGAAATGTCAAAGATTAGAAGTGTTCCAAAGAAAAAAAGGGAGGAGAGATAAGGGCGATAGATGTTTGGTATGAAAGAAGAAGCAAACCTCAACACAGCACCCGCTCTGTTACGGGATCGAGTTACAAAGACCACAAGAACTGCTGGTGCGTTTAGGATCATTGGCCATGACCCACCGGCAATATTTTGCATGAAACATGAATTGACACACATGTACTTTCTTTCTATGTTGTACAAACCAAAGAAAAAGACATACATACATAGTTTCATGAACGGGTTGGGGGGGGTTGCAACCAACTCAATTATTCTTAACATAATTCCAAATAAACACACGTAATAAATAATTTACAATAAAAGGCAAGCGAAAGTTTAAAACATACCTGTCCACCACCTCTCCTTTCCTTTCTTTCGAAACCATTTCCAGCAAAGTGGAGCGTAAATGGTCGCGGATCGACGGGTGGCGAACAACCTGGTCTCTAAAAATGATCAGGCCCAAGTTGTAGACGTTCTCCACGTTGTTCTGCTGCACATACACCCGGTCCTGGGAGGAAGGGAAAACAAAAGATATATATGTGGGGCGTGCTGACAAAATAGTTACTTCTCGCAATCCACAATTAATGGAGATATCGACAGAAAATCAACAATATGTAGATTTTCAACTGATGCCAGTTTCTTCAAGTTTAACATGCATTTTATTATTTCCAAATAAAGAATCGTAAAAGCTCAGCCTATCAATTCAACATAATTATATCTATTTCTAAAGGGCATAAATATGCAAAGTAACTCATTTTCTCTGCATGTCTCACACATATATCATCTTGAAAGACAATACCACAAAATGATCATAGGGAGCTGACAACAGGAAGCCACAGAGGTCTAGTTAAACAACACATAATTGTGTATCTCACAATAATCCTCTCCCCTCCCCTTCCCCCAACCAATCCGTGAATCCCATGTTTTTATCATTCTTTTCTTTTTTTAAAAGTTTTATACGGCACTTGCAACACAATAAGGTCATACAAGTGCCGCAGATTAGAGGTGTTACAAGAGAGTAACAAACATAAAAAAGAAGGAGAGATCAGGATGACAGATGTTTGATAGGAAAGAAGGAGCAAACCACACCAGAACACCCGTCAACCACCCACTATCCTTCTTTACTCAAATGAAAACAAATACATTCAAACCCACTGCACATTCCAGGGACAGTCGGCAGATCTTCCACTCTTTTTCTGTTTTTTTCTGGAAAGTGTTTTTGCATTAAACATTTCCAGTTGGTAGCAAATTTTTAATTTTGCCTACATTGCGGCCGAAGCCTACTCTTATCGATTTTGGGCCACCAAGGTATCTTTAACGAGCGCCACTTGCGTAAGGGACCTCCAAGATTTTTCTCCCTTATCCGAGAAGGCCAGGTGCAGATCTTTCCTACCATAAGATCGGGGGTAAGGCTGAAAGTTTAGTTCAATAAGAGTTTTACGGCACTTGCAACACAATAAGGTCATAAAAGTGCCGAAGATTAGAGGTGTTACAAGAAAGCAACAGACACAAAAAAGGAGAGATAAGAACGATAGTTTTTGATAGAAAAGAAGAAGCTAACCACACCATAGCACCCGCCAACCACCCACTAAAGCTGAAAGACGGCAGTAAGAAGGATCCAAGGACTAGCAGTACTAGAAAGGCTGCAGAAAGAGTCAGGAGCCCAAAGGAAGGGGGCAAAGGAGGTGAGGGGGTGGGGGCAGAAAGCGGAGATGAAATCAGGCGACAGAACATTGTTGGAGAGCAATCTACCACTCTACAGTACCAACAACAAAAGGGTCACGGCTGTGACAACTCACTCACTCACCATGTACATGAGAATATCCCGAATCATGACCATGGATGTCTGGTGGTCATTCCAAGCTGCGTTCAGAGTCTGGAGGAAGTTGTTGTTCAAAGCCCTCAGGACATCTTCCCTCACCTGTTGAGAAGATTTGGAGAGAGCGTATTTTTTAGTTGTCTTATTTTTTTTAACAATCTCAGTCAATCGGTGAAAGGACTTAAATGCATCTGGGCCCAACAAACCCTGCTTACACTCGTCTACTACTGCTTCCATGACGCCACAAGACAGTGAACAAATCAATACAGTCATATACAGCTGTGAATATTGAATTAATTACTAGCTCATATTACCAAACTTACAGAAAAGTGGGAAGACATGGAATAACATCAAGAGGCTAGCCCAGGATAGAGAAAAGTGGAAGGTGTTAGTTGTGGCCTATACCCTAGCGCAGGGTGAGAAAGGCAATGATGATGATGATGATGATGATGATGATGATGATGATGATGATGATGATGATGAAGATGATGATGATGATGATGATGATGATGATGACTACACAACTTGACTTACTCAAACTGGGTGAAGGGATAAAGCAGGAGGCAGCACAAAGCAGAGTATTGAAATATTAAAGTTTATAAGAAAGAACTTATTAGTCTCCCCTCCCCCCCAACAAAATCCAATCTTACTTAAAACTCAGTCCTCACCACTCTTTCCACCTTATACAACAATGATCCATGCCTCAAGACAAAACATTTCTCATTCTCCCTGCATCGACAGTGTTGACTATCTCAACATAAATGAAAGACGATTGGAAATGGAGACTTCCATTTAAGTTCATCACCAAACAAACATACACACACACACACAGAAACACACACACACACACAGAAACACACACACAAACAGAGAAATACACACACACACACACACACACACACACACACACATAGAGAAACACACACACACACAGAGAAAAAAAACCCACACATACACACAGGCACACCCAAAAACAACCC